TAGAACGCTGCTTCCATATTCAACCTGCTTCTCCTGTAAAAAAGAAGCTAAATTAATCTACAGAATTTCCTCGACACCAAGTTTAAATCTGGGGCAGGATGTTGTTTAAATAGTCTTCTTGGTCTCTCTGTGTTCGGCCTGGGAAGCTTGAGTTGTCTGTTTGTCGTGTTAATAAAGGCTTACTGCACGTGTTTTTTATCTGCAGAGTTTAAACCAGCCTGCAAAATTTCCATCTCAGTCCCCTTCTACAGAGTTTAAGCGAGTCTGCAAAACCTCCTCCTCAGTCTCCATCTGCAGAATTTAAACCTGCCAGCAAAACCTTGCTTAGTGCTTAGTGCAAAGGAATATGACTCATCCCCCACACCTTCAGGTACATAGGGAACCTGTGGTTGATTCACAACACTCAGCAGGCGATCACCAATGTCCGTTTTTCTTTTGCCGCTTATCCAGATGCAGTTTGTTATGATGTGGTCCAGTCCCTGGGGCTACGGGACCATAAAGGCCTTTCTGCTGTGGTCCATGCACACTGGTCTGAGGTGGATGCTGCTGAACATCGCCTGTATTGCAACAGAGACATCAGTGGGTTGGGTGTCTGCTCTGTGCATTGCAGCAGGCCGCAGTAGGTCACAGTCTCTTCTTTGGAGCCACTGCGTAGATTTGCGACCCTGTTATGTGCCTTCACGAAACCCTCTTGCACGGTTTTTCATTTAGCAATGACCTGTTTCACTGCAAAAGTAACAAACATGTTTAGATTTGACTCAGCTTCTCTTTTCAACTTTAACTACAGTTTGCCATGAGCTCGGATGGTAGATTAAAATGCCTTTGGTATTCTGGTGTCAAGGTGGAGAACGCTTCATAACAAGATAAACCATCTCCCTCAGAATGTGGACTCCATGGTGATGGCAGCTTGCCTCCTCCAGAACTTCTCGCTGAGTAGAAGGGAGAACCAGCAGCTCCGTGACGAGGCCCAGGAGGGTGGACGTAGGATGCCGCCTGTTGGCAATATGGCTGGACGACGCGCATTAGCTGAAAGCAGAGCTGCCAGCACCTACTTCAACTCCCCAGGAGGGAGTGTGCCATAGCAAAATAGAAGGCTTTGAAACCTGCATCCTGCTATGAATGCAGAAGGAAATAAACACATTTTTTATGTTGCTTGCATCTATTATTACCTGCACTTCTGTAAAATCAAAGCTAAACAACATAATTATACACTGAACACATGGTGACAAAGCATTCATTTTCCTTGAAATATAAGCTATGTAGAAAAAATTAGGGCCTTGTAATGCTCAGTTGGTTAGTTTACTCATATTTTTTTCCAGGATTATACTAAGATGCTTGATTAAACCTCCATTTATTGATTAGGGGAGGACACAACTGAGAAGCAGGGCTGCCATTAGTCACATTTGCAACAGACCTGCAGGCATGTCTTGAGGTTTCTCCCAACTATTTGACCCCACCTTATCCCATCCCCTCAGACTCACACCCTTCCCTGACTTCAGCCTCTGATGCAGAACTCACTACATCTACATTAATAAAGACCTGGTGTCAGCCTTTTATCATACAAATAACCTTACTTTGCAAGTTCACTTTGTATTTCTAGAGCCATTTTAGTACAAGATAAA